AACACTCATTCGGAATGCAGATTCATCCTAAGAAAAACGAGCAAGAAACTTGTGTGTTGCTCTTTTTTATATAAATAATTACACAACAACAAGTAAGAGGCATGCGATAATCATTTTTAGTGCAATCAGATAATACTGTCTAAAAACATTATTATCGTTAACGAACTTTTCAATTTTATATTAAGCTTTTTATTACAAGGCCAGTGTTTTATATGACATTTATATCTTTTTTCAGGCAGATTTATAAAAAACTAAATAATGAACTTTTCATGTATATAGACAACCTCTACCACTTACCATCAGGCGGGCCGTCAGTTTGATTACAATTCTATATATAGATTAAACAAAATTCGAACTTTGAGTAAAAATATACATGTAGTTGTTTTCATCCCCACAGAGTTGTAAAAGCGACTAAAGGAACAAAGAATACACCAGTGTAAAATAAGGAAAACTCGATGCACGGAGATTTTCCCATATATTTTTCTGTGACTGAAATGCCAAACGAGAGGATAGAATTTTTTTTCTTTATTTAGCACTAGTACCATGACCTGGCTTTGTCCGTATACTAATAAATTTCCAAGGTTTTTGTTTAGTTAATATGACACTCTGAATCAATATACCTATCAAAGTTTAGGAGTCAATTACCTCATAACAAAATCCGTTCTTTCTTACCTCCTAATAATATGAATACCTGTTAAAAACTCTTTGGTTCGTATAAAGAAAATATTATATTTGAAAAATATATACGTTCCTTGTCATCTTTGAATATTAGAAAATTAAGGACTGTAAATTTAGACTTCAACGTGAATACATAAAATATTTTACTGTACTCTTTTATTGATGCCGTATCTTCGAACCTAATTACAAATAATCTTATATATAAAATTCTCTTGTCACAATGTTAGTTGCCATACTCCTCCGAAACGGCTTGACCGATTCTTATGAAATATTATATGCCTATTGAGTAGGTCTGAGAATCGGCCATTAACTATTTTTCATATTCCTAAGTGTAAGGGTTGTCCGCCCCTAACCCATTTTTAATTTTTCGGACATTTTTTTATAATGTGGCAATAAAAAGTAAATACAACCCTAAACTTTCACACTGCTACCATCAACCCCTAATTTTTTTTTATAGGATGATAATGGAATGGTGCACCCGCCTGCGCTAATGGTTTACGCTGGCGGGGCACCAGTGCAGGATGATAAGATGAGCCTGAGGTCAGGCCAGTTAGCCCATCGTGACAAATTCACCAGTAATTTTTTGACATGGTACATTAGCTAGCAATGAGATCATCAATCCACATTACTAACAATCCCCTTTCCCCCCCACCAACCCCTATTTTTAATAGCGATTTGAATTTTTATGGCAAAACAACTTTTGCGGGGTCAGCTAGTTATCTGTATATGTATATATGTATTGGATTAGCTGTCCTGCCGAATAGTACTTATAGAAAATTATTCTTTTATATGATTTTTATAATTATCATTGACTTTACATTTGTTTTAATTACTTTATTATATAGTAATTTCGTAAACCGAAAACGCAATGCATCTTACTTTACATCTCAATTAAATATTGACAAGATGTTTGATTGACCACTTGGTCTGGAACAATCTGGAATGATTAAAATCAATCAATTTGACACGGACAATTGTCAATTGCTCTCAATATCCATGTTGACAATTATATACGTGTACTTTTATGTATTTAGAAATGCAAGTGGTCGCCTAGCGGTCGAAATTCGATCATAATTAATTTAAATAAACTTTGATAGAAACACAGATACAAATTCGTTGACTTAACAATTAAGAATATTGACATTATTTGACATTGATGATTTGTTATCAGACGTGTAATATAATAGTTCAATTCAATCCTTCTCTATATAAACTATAAGTATGCGATATTTCATAAGTCTGAGCAATTTTCGTAAATAGAGGTACAAGGTTTTGGCTTCACGTATTAATATTATGATATTTCTTTCTGTGATTCTTTTCCTATTTTTTATAGCTAAAACGACTATTTGAGGAGGAAATGAATCCTACAAATCAGAAATCATAATGAGTCCTGCCGTTCTTGACTTATATATGGTGCAACTAAACTAACATTGTATATATAGACATACATTTCTTAATCCTTCAATAAAAAAACAATCTAATTGTTATATGATGTTAGAATTTAGCAATAGTTCGAGACAAAATATACATTCATTGTCAATCTGAAAACACTTAACTTACGAAGAAATAATTTGACACAATTTCTACATTAATCCAATATGGCTCTTTAACCTCGTACATTATAATATTTTAACCAATTTGTATTGTATATGTTCGACTCTGTTGTCCGAATTTCGCCTCTCATTTGGGCCGTTATGCGTGTACAGCCGAGACTACTAAGTAGCCGGCAACCTCCTCCCAAAAGCGCCGAAGCCTCGTGGTGTCTTCATAGGCTTTATGGAGTGACCTCACCGTTCCGAAGATTTATGAACGTTGTTTGGTCACTGCTACTGCACACCAGGAATACGTGAACGGCCGTTTCATTAACTTCAAAGCAGCCCCGACAAAAAGGACTGTCAGTGGCGGTTATGTACCTACAAGTATCTGTTTAAATAGACTAAGTTTTATAGGTCCAAATCTCATACAAACTTGTATGAGGGTGAACATATGCACGTACAATACGAGATTTTTGGCCATTATACGAGGTTACTTTCATAGTCAATCCTCTTACAGTTGGTAACTCTGCCTGCATGCTTGATGCAGAAATAATAATAACACTGCATTAATACCAGTATTACCATCACGCATACAGCTATGACGCGCTTGTCATCCTACTGCGGTTACGCGCCGTTCAACATAGTGAATCTGTGGATAATTACGTTTGCGCGGGAAAATAAAAAACTACAAAATGGCTTCTTCTGCAGACATACTGATTAGTTGTTGTGCTCTTCATTATTAATTATTTTATACTGTTGTTTATAATATATGTCTGCAATTTACTTTTATTATAATACAATACCTATATACACAATAAACCTGAATATAAATACAGCCCCTAGTAACACTGTATATAGTTGAGTTGAGAGTACGTAATATTATCTTATCTGTGGTTGGGAGTAACAACTTCGCCATCTACGCTTCTCATGAACTAAGAGACCGCAACTTCTAATCGCAACAACCTAACTAAACTATTTTAAATGTTAAAATCTCATTCCGAGATTGTTATTGAAACAGACAGACGTACATACGTCCAACTTGAGCACGCTGGACTTGTTCAATTGTTGTGTAAAAGTTGGTTTCGAGCCGCAATGTTGTTTGACCTATTTTCGGTTCCCGCAATATGACTGCACTGTAATGAGATGTAGCATGAAGTTTTATGTACTTTTATCTCATACAGCTTATATGAAATGATTTGTATAGTCTAAACTTATAAAATCAGAATTTCATAGTCTAATCTGTGCCCTACAGCAGAACCACAGTTTCCTTATCAAGGCGGCTGAAATAAGTGATACTGAGATATCCTCTCAGACGAATTTGTATATGTATTCTAGTACGTTACGTAGTACACAAATTTTTACGTAGTTAACTAACTATTCTACTAGTTTTTTTACTATTTTTTATCTATATATATATATAATAAAAAAAACTAGTAGATTAGTTAATCAACTACGTAAAAAATTGTGAAAATCGAGATATTCTTAAAAATCGAAATGCTACAGTGTGTTTCGTCTTAATTATCAAGTGTTTTCCAGTGTAGTAGTGGTGATTATATACGTAGAAAAGCCAAAGAAAGCGGATAAACAGATTTGCCTGCTCGTAATAATTGCATTACATCGACCGCAACCTTTAGTAGACACGTGACCGGGACGTTTGTAACAGCGTCCAAATATAGAGTGAATCCCAAAATCGATTTAAAAAATAAAAAAAAAATATTAGGAGCTCATACATAATGTACCTAATGATAATAAATATCTCGTTTAGGTACATGATGGGTACAATAGTAAACAGCCTTAAAAGAGTTGTAAATGCTGTTGAGCCGTAGGAAATAGCTAGTTATATATGAACGGCGCGGCGCTGAAATTGCCTATCATTGATTTTACTTAAGTAAGTAATAAAGAAATCGTATTGTATCATACTTAATACTCATTAAGCAGGATACGATACGAGTTCTTTGTTCTATTTTTTGTTCATAAATAATATATTACAATTTTGTATATAATGTAATTTAGATAAATGAATAAATAATATAGTTACATTAAGAACTTCCCAATAGGATGTGCCCTAGATTTATAGTAGTATTTTAACTAAAAAAAATATATTTCGAATGAAATTATCATGTTAACATGCGTAAATATCTCTTATAAATATAGTGCTAAACTTATAAATAATAAATACATTAATGTGCACTAAGATTTTTAGAGTTTGTTCATATACCCAGAAAATCTCCCTCCGACCTATGTTAATTGATATAGTGATGTGTCTTTCAAATTTATAAAACAAAACACTAACAAGGCAGTGGCAGGTACAATAATAAATTTATTTTGTCTATTAAAAGTATTGAAACAAAAAAAAAAATTATTAAAAGTTGACGGTTTATTATGATACATATGCTAGCATATTTATATCTAATATTCAAATTCCTTTTACTTTCAGATGTTCATGAACCCGTATATATAAACATATTTGCAGTTGGAAATAAGTGTGCAAAATATTTGCACAAGTTTAATATTTCGTTTTGAATTATTGTTTATTTATTGTATAAATTAATAGAAAGAAATTATAAATACAAATGTTTATTGTCTATATATACATATACTGTCGTTATTTTACTACTAAATACCATAACTTTTACAACAATTAAATACACTATTTATATTAAATTCATTCTTAATTTCCGGAACTGTACACATTTTATCAATTTACTTCACATTATTCAAAGGCACTGTCACAGTTTCAGAGACGCAGATTTGGCCTCAATCTCTTCACAATACTTTGTCCTCCAGGTAAAGTGGATGAGAAGGCTACGCAGCTGCATGCGATAGCGTCCCTCAAGGTGCTTCTGGAGGCGACTCGACCGACGGCGGGTGGCGCGGGCGCAACTGCGGCGAGGCATACGGCAGCTGCTGCGAAGGAAACGCCACTCGATCTTCCCAACGGGGGGCTCGCGGACGTCCAATTAGATGCTATAGAAGAGGTCAGTACTAGTCTATAACAGTGTCTTCTAATACTAATATTTAGATAGGTAGATTCTTTATTCACTAATTTTTTAAGTGAAACTTCTACATAGACCGTGTATTATATATACACTATGTATTATTGATATTATATATACATAGTGTGTTATTGATGGGTCCATCAATAATACATTCTGCTAGGGCATGCCACCCCAGGGTCGTTAGTTCACCGGCCGTCCCGAAGCGGACTTCGGGCCTTTTTCGAAAGTCGGCTACTTTTCAGCAGCCGATTGAGTAGATGCACCCCGTAGTATAATTTTTCGGTCACGAAAATGTGTTACCGTTGCGTGGAGAGAGTGCGCTATATATCGCGTTGTGAGAGAAAGAGAAAGGCTGGTGGCGGCGGAGGCAGGAGCACTATGTCTCAGCACTCCATTTTTTTCTGTACCTTATCTATGCTATGTGTTTCTAATCTATACATATAAATAAAATTGGAGTATCTGTTTATAATATTGAAATAACTGTTTTTTATTACATACATATGAATAAATACAGTATATACACCAAAATATTTTTTTACAATGTTGTCTATGCGTTTGTTCCGGCTAATCTCTGAAATGGCAGGACCGATTTTGACGGGACTTTTTTTTTGGTGGGTAGATGATGTAATAAGGCGTAACTTAGGCTACTTTTGTTTTAGATAAATAAAGTTAAATTCCACGCTTACGAAGTCGCGAGTGCAGCTATTTGATGAATAAAAGTGTGTTGTGTTGCAAATAGCATACAACACATATTTATAGTAAAAATAAATTTACAAATAAAAAAAAATGGAAGTCGCTTTATGTGCTATGTGTGCAAAGGTGAATAGGCAACTGACTTATTTTTATATTTATTATAAAAGATATCCGCTTTGTATTCGTCTTTAACGGGCTCGGTGGTCTGTCTGTTTAGTCCTTTGCGTTACTTCTAATGATCGTGGGTTACAAATTCCTCGCGTGGTACAAACGTTTGTTTCGGTAAGTATATTTATTTATGAACAGAACAAAAAAAACACCATATCATACATTGCATCACTTGTTTCTATCATAAATTGCTATTCTATATAGTTGTCATTGCCAAGGTAATACAAATACATGTATAGATACTTGTAACTTTTAGACAGTAATTTATTAACTTCATGTTACCGGACTAAGCCCATTTTACACGATACAAGATTGATTGATAGGACGTGCAGTGGATTCATTATCTAATATACAGTCATTCTGACTCTTGCCTCCAGCGTTTTAACTTTAGCCTGTAAAAAATGGTCAACGTATGAAAAGACGGATTGAATTTATATAATACTAGCTACTCGCATCGGCTTCGCCCGGGTGTACATGTATTATATATATAAACCTTCCCCTAGAATCACTCATCTATTAAAAAAAACAGCTTCAAAATCCGTTGCGTAGTTTTATAGATTTATACATAGGGACGGACAGATAACGACAGCGACTTTGTTTTATACTATGTAATGATACTATTAATAGGAAAGATTAAATTTTTGTATGTAATGGATTAACTGAGAAAATAATAAATTCTATCAGTTACATTATTTATTTATTTATTTATACTCTTTACTGCACCACAAAAACAAAAATTACAGAACAAAAAAAAAACAAAATAGAAAATATACATTGACTGGTACAAAAGGCGGTCTTATTGCTGAGCATTCTCTTCCAGATTACCTTGGGGTGTATAGAGAAATAAAAAAATAATTAATATTTCATTTACAGTACTTAGAGATTAGAAGTCGTTACACTAGGAGCAAGCACCATTAGGGCCAACTCTAGTCATATTTTACTTATTTTACTAAGTAAACTAGGGATTAGAGAACCGACAGAAATACTTAAACAAATTTTACTTCCTTACATACAAAATATTATTTTTTCTCTTTACATTGGCAATAAACAGTCGTTATATAAATATATAAATATACAAATAAACGTATTTTTACAATAGACATTGAGTGCTGAAAATTTTTTACTTAATTTTATTGAGCCTAGTGGACTAAAATAAAAACAAAACAATACAACTACAAAGAAAATGAATAAGAATATTACAGTACAAAAATTATAATGACTAAAATAAAAATAAAAAGGGATTACTATAGTATTTCGAATAGTTTATTTCTGTAAACCTGTTAAAAATACATATATACTTACATAATAAATAAATAAATAAAACACCCAGACCAGTACAAACAACAATACTCATGACTACAAAATGTTTGCACCCTGTGTGGAATACAACTAAAGAGGTATGCCAACCCACTTGACCACCGAGGCCCTCAAACATTATTGTTTTAAGTTTTTAAGTTTTGTATAATGAAAATAAAAATATAACGTAGATCGGATATTAATAATACTTAATGCCATAAGGCATTAAGTCCGCCATGTATACATTTTTGTGTGCAAAAGAATAAATAAATAAATAATAATAATTTATTTGCTCAAAAATACAGTTGATAATTAAAGCATAGTATTATGTGTTTTGCTATAGTAATGGCATGCAAAAATAGTACTGTTTTTAATTATACATAATTAACTATACAGAGACAAATAATAATTACAGTAAAATAGGATCTCTCCAGTCGATAATTATAAATAGTCAAAAATATCCTTTAAATTGTAAAATTCCTTATCCTTAACCATTCTCGTAATATCTTCTTAAATATTTTGTTATTCATCTTCAATGTCTTAGGAATACAATTATAAATTCTTCTATGTTACAACGTATAGTATCGGCATGAGGGTTACTTCCCCATAATATTTCTATTTATTTATGTTTTGTACGACTTTAGTTTGAGCCGTTCGAGCCCCTAGCGGTGCGCTAGGGGCTCGTACGGCTCAGGCCGTCGTAATTTCGATCCCCGTTTGAATTGGACGGGGGATCGTTCGGAAGGGGGACGGGGATTCAATTGAAGGTGTATTTAGTATGCGAGCCCCTTCGCTTTTTGTTTTGAGGTTGACCCCTCAAAACAAAAAGCGAAAGCTCTCTCTTGAAAAAGCGCCACGGGATTTTTCAAGAAGCAGGCTTTGTGTAGAGGCCTAAAAAAAGTGATGTCAAAACAATTTCGTTCGCCCCACATTTTGCCCGCAACTGCCTCCAATAGATTTATCGACAATACATTATAGTACCTTTAGAGTGAGATTAATGACTCGTGCTTCCTTCGAAACTAAAAAGTATGGGCCACACACGCGCTGGGCTTATCATTCATGTACAACAGAGATAAATGGAGCAGCCGTTACATAGGTACGTTACCTTTATTTCTTGTTCTACTACGAATTGTAAATTACATTGACGTAGACACTTCATTACATAGTATAAAACAAAGTCGCTGTCGCTGTCTGTCCGTGCCTATGTATACTTAAATCTTTAAAACTACGCAACGGATTTTGAAGCGGTTTTTTTATTAGATAGAGTGATTTAAGAGGAAGGTTTACATGTATATTATATGTACACCCGGGCGAAGCCGAGGCGAATAGCTAGTTTATAAATAATTTAATAATAATAATAATGACTACATTATTGTAAAGATTCATGGAAATCTTTTTAATATTATTTAAAGTAAAACAAAACAAAAAGATCTGATTAAATTCAATTCAAATATACATCTATACATCGATAGAGCTCGCTATAGGACTAGATTACTATGTGAATTGTTTGAAATATTTTTGTTATTATAAGGAAGGTTTACATACAAACTTGGCTCTACAAAATATCGTGACATTTCACAATGTTTTTCAATGTGAGAATTGCATTACTTTTTTTAATGTTAACTTCAACAAACATTTTTACTTTTAATTTAATAACATTAGTAGGTATTAGTATGAATTGCACATTTGGTTTTATACAAAATCTCACAACTTTTTACAGTTTTAAAGTGGGAATGTTAGGATTGCATATCTTTATATTATCACCGGCAAAAAAATATACTTTAACATTTATATTTTTAGGAAAGATTACAGATTTGAGTCTACATGAGATGTCGTAACTTTACAATGCTTTTTTGAGGACAGTATTTTTGTTTTCGTTTTAACATTTTCTCTAATACACGACTCGGAGATCATACAATGGTATATATATTTTTGTACTATATATTAGACAATATTTTTTTTAAATAAAACAAATAACGTTAAAAAAAAAAATATATAATACAATACTAGTCTATGCCATGTAAAATATTTGGTATCAAGCGGTATTAAAAATAGACAACGACCTATTCTCAGATCTACAAAAAAATCGGTTAAGCCAAATGGCTTAACCGATTTTTTTATCAAGTTTTTGTTATGAAACTACTTCGAAATCGAAGTAGTTTGATAACAAAAACTTTTTTCATACTACTCTAATGCTGTTTGCCGTAGCTGGCCTTTACAGCTTCACCGGACGATAGGGGCGAGTGCAGATGGCACTCCAAATCCGCGGAAAAACTTATAGAGCGGCTAAAGGCCAACTCCCGCGTGAACCGGATTCGAACCTCGACTCAGGCCGTCGTAATTTCGATCACTATTTGAATTGAACTAGGGATCAATCGAAGGCGTAACAAATACTGTGACACGAGAAATATATTTATATATATACTAGCAGACCCGGCCACGCGTTACTTTCACTAAGGTTAAATAATATTGTGACTATAAATTGAGATGTAAACTATCCTATCTTTCAAGTTGGATCATATTTCACACAAATCAAATTTACAATCGATTCAGTAGTTTAGGAGTCCATCGCGGACAAACAACGTGACACGTAAGTTTTGTACATAAACATATATATATACATACATATGAATGTCATTTTGAGAGTATCTTGGTGTTTACGAAAAAATACCGATCAAATATAACCATACACAATATTGGCTTTGCAAGAACGTGTCAAGAACTGTCACATCCTGGGGGATTGTGGCATGAAACGTGTAACACGGGTTACATTACATCCTGTCCTACTAACTAGTTGCCTACACTATGGAATCCACGTATTAATCCCTCGAGGAATAAGGGAAGAGTTTTGTTGGTTATATATATTGACAACGATACACCCAATATAATATGAGTCAAAGTGGATATTTTGATGTTATACAGTTGATGTCATATGTCCCATTTAATTGCTTGTTATTTAACAATTATCATGTACCAAGTGAAAAATATAATAGTATTACAGGTCAATTTACATATATATAGGCGTCGTAACCGCTTGGCTAATGGTCAATTAGGATGTGAAAGACGTACCGAGATTACTTAACTGTCGATACTGTTTCGGTACATTTTTTTAAGTTTCACACATCGCCATCTAGTCGCAAGTTACGCAGATTTTCTGTTATGGGTACTAGACAACTAATATAAATACTTAGATACATTTTCTTTGTAAATACATACATAGTATACATAGAAACACCCAAACTGATATAAACAATTATATTCATTAATTAAAGTACAAGTTGTACAGTGTGAGGAATCGAACCTGCGACTGATGGAATATGGCGTGGCTGAAGACCAACTCTAGCTTCACGGATAAGACATTAATCAGAGGGCATCGCTAGCGGTTCAAACCTTGGAACGGTCCGTCGTGATTTTAATACTCGTTTAAAAGAGACTGGGGATCAATCGGAGACGAAAACTTTAACTATACCTTTCATGATTCTCATCATCCATCATACTCGTGAACGAAAGGGACTCTGTATTTAATATTTTGATACTAAGGAATTGTTGGTTGTTAATAGTTTGTACTCACACATTTCTTCACTTAAAAATGTTACAGCAATTGTTTAAAAGAGCAACAAGCAAGTTTCTTGCTCGTTTTTTTTTGTGATGAGACAGCCATATGAGCGGTACATTAAGAAAAAAAATGAGTATATCTACTCAAGTGCTTAAATTTAAGTGTATTTTAATAAAGAATTTTCTATTCTATTTTCTGGCCCTTGTTTTTGTGAAACAACAAGAAAATATTTGCTTCACATAATAATAATGAAATGTATTCATTTGCAGATAGGAGACCTGGAGGAGGACACGACTCCGCTGGACATGTCGTGGCCTACCGGGTTCCGAAAGCGACTGACTTACCTGTTGGTTGCACCAATTGTCTTCCCTCTATGGATCACCCTCCCGGATACGCGGACTCCGAGAGGTAAGTCAATAATATAGATATTGAAAAAATAATTACTATCACTTATTTATTTTGGTTCATTCATAATTTAAGAGCGACGCTCTCGTGGGTGGAGTTCTTGCAATTTTCTACGATCTTCCATCATACTCTTTAAACGTTGATACGACACGACCTTTTTTTTGTCTTTAATTTGCTTGATGTAGCTGTGCCTTGGTCGTCCTCTCCCCCTCTTTCTTTCTACCTTTCTCTTAATAATAACTTTCATAAATTTATCGTGCCGTATCAAGTGTCCTAACATTTTTCCTCGTCTATTTTCTACAGTATTCAATATCTACCTTTTTTCTTTCACCCCGTTTAATACTTCTACATTTCTTACTTTATCTTTACTATTTATTTTGGTATATAATATAATTTGGTAATTTGTATTCACACCTTCCTTCATTCATAATTAAGAGCCGCGCTCTTGTCGGTGAAGCTCTTGCCATTTTCCACGATTTTCCAACAATATCTTTAGTTGTTGACACGACGCGACTGACTGCATGTATTCACACTTAATCTCAGAAATGTAATATTGAACAATATTTATGTAAAAGAGCCACACGCAATTTTTTATTCATTCCAATTTTACGGAGACTGCTTTTCGAATGAAATGTATAATAGAATAAAAAAATACTATCTGAAAGTGTTTGTATTATGTTTATTTAAATAATGATAATTATTACTAGTCTATCTACATGGAGTATCACATCTATGATGATGATGATGATCCCGTATGAATGATACAGTTAATTATAATTCACCTTACCAATTTGCCTTCTTACCTTTTAAATCGACAAAGTAGGTTTTTCTATAGTTGTTAATGGAGTGGTGCCGCCTGTGCGTTAATAGTTTTCGCTGGAGGGACACCTGTGGAGGATGATAAGATGAGCATAAGGTCAGGTTAGTTAGCACATTGCGGGTGATAAATTCACCAGAAATTTATCATGAGGTCATCAGTCCACATTACTAACAATTCACTCCCCCCCCCCCCCCCCTATGTTGGTTTTATTTATTTTTTTATATTTTTTTTCAGGGAAGAATCTATTCCCTATAACATTTATAGGGTCAATAGTTTGGATAGCGTTTTTCTCATACCTAATGGTATGGTGGGCGAACGTAGCTGGTGCGACCGCGAAGATACCCCCCGAGGTGATGGGCCTCACGTTGCTGGCTGCGGGGACCTCGGTGCCGGACCTCATCACGTCCGTCATCGTCGCCAGAAAGGGGTTTGGAGATATGGCCGTCTCCAGCTCGGTGGGCAGCAATATTTTTGATGTTACCGTTGGGTAAGTATACTATTTTTTATAATAATAATAATATACTTTATTGAATCAAATATGGTAGATAAAATGTCTTGTTAAACACAATATAGATAATCCATCCAACAGGCATATAACATATCCAATAACTAACTAAATTAAAACTATAATACATTAAAATTGAAATTATGATAGACTAAAAGTCTATTTACATAGGACCTTTCGGCCTCTTGTTCACGTTATATTATCAGTTAATTAATAGAGTTTGGATATAGTGTGGATACCTTTTTTTATCGTTTGGAAAAATCTTGAAAAGGTCGTCTTCCCGCCAGAGGGGATACGAGGGGGTGTATAGGATTCTTACCCACTAAAAAACTACACAGTGTACCTACGAGCGTCATTGTCGGAGTCATGTTTGTCCACCGCTGTTCTAAACAAGGATCTGGTGCTAATCTCGAACCACTGCCTTAAATTTTTTGCCATTAAGTGCGGCGCTAGGCTGGTCTTCGGCCCTGGATTTTTTCTTAAATAATTAATTGTAAAAGACCATATTTTTCATTTCGCATTACTTGTCCAAAGTGCTGTAACTTCCTACTTTTTATGATATCCAACACTTCAAGACTTTTATCTATGATGGATAGTACACTCTATCTCGTTAGCATTCAACCCCTCTATAAGTGTCGGATATTGTTTATTATTCAGTAACCAGACTACAAACAAATAATATCTTCAATTAGGCCGATATAGATACTACATACAAGGTGTTTCGACAAGGTCAGGGGTGAGTAGTGGGTGTTAAAAGTTCAAGGAGATGAAGTTCTGTGTCAGGTCAGGGCTAACTAAACAATTTATCTACATTTTTATTGCAAGCAAATTCAATATGAACGGCTTCTGAATCTTTAAGTATTCTCTGAACTAGAATGGCAAATAAGCTGATGGAATGTGGTAACCGTCGTCTATATAGATAAACAACATTGTGTAAATATATTTGAAAGACTATGATATACCTCATACGTTGCCATTCTATCTGATTCAGACATATTTATATTACTGTGGATTCACTGCCACATCTTATCCATCAAAACGAAACACAGCTTACAAAGCAAGCTATTTGGTGGCAGAAATACCTGACGTACCTAATTAAAGATGTATGGTGATGGAAATACCAATAACAAATGTAAGAGATAGCGGTATGCGCACTTGCTATATTGGATTTAACTATTCTGAGTGAAATTAGGCACATCGAATGTTGTTTACCGCATGAATACTTGAGATACATCTAACCACCTCATTTGTGATCGTAGTTTTAAAGATGTATAGATGATTTACTTCCCTGTATTGTACCCAACAGGTCCCGAGTTCAAATTTGGACGAAACAAAAACATACTGTGTGTATTTTTTTTTCTAACTTATTCTCCGTTGACGAAAACCAGTCTCTGTCTTCTCGATCTGGTATAACAGTGGTGACGGTATGTTTGTTTTAAAAAAAATCAAGAAAACTATTTTGATACTTGACTGGATGATAGTACAATTTTAGGCTACGTTATTACTGCAATTCGAATACAATTACAGATCAAATAAGATTTCTAATCATATTTGATGAAAATTATATATATGACCTTCTATATACATTGATAGATCTTTTGAAATAAAATGCCAAGTCATAATATTTCTTGACCTACATTACTACTTTTTATTATATACTTTAGAACGATATACATAGAGTTTAGTATAGTACAACAACAACCTCGAACCACAAACAGTGCTCGCCGTTACATACATTCAAATAAAGTACCATATAAATCCTTGCTGAAACATGTCTAACTTTACTGGAATGTGAATTTGTCTCATATCTCGGTAGAAATAGGGTCGTATTTTTAATACTAAATGGTACAACGATATATCAAGAAAATAAACTTGACGTCGTAAACATAGTATGCTGAAGTAGCTCTTGTAGTTCGCATCTATTAGTATTTTTATATTTTTAATAAAAGCATCGACATTTTGTTTAAGATATTTTGAAAATGATGAATTTCCATTCTTTCCAAACTTTCATCCCATTTTATTCACCCCCTTAAGGGTAAAAGTTTTACAAAATTTGAATGTCATATTTATTTATATTTAATCAAGTAATTTTTTAATAAAGTTCGAGTCTTGAAACTCAAAAATAAGTTTCAAGACTCGAACTTTAAAAATAATGATATTTACATACAAACTGTCATCCCCCTTTCAACCCCTAACGACCCTTTTTTTTACATTACAAAGTAGTCTATGCTTAAAGTTTAGTAGTTTTGACGTGAAAGCGCGACAGACAAATAGACCGACAGAGTTACTTTCACATTTATAATATTCGTAAGAATTGCGTTCACTACAATGTCGACTATTGGCAATGCCTCTGTCTACCCCATTTTGAGATTCCAATCGTTAAGGTATATCATAATGCAAAATTTAAATCCTATTAAGGTCGCGCCACCGGAATGCCTTTCGCCAACTTGAGCCAACTTTCCTAGCATAATTTTATGTCTATACAGATGCGAGCTTATCTCAAAAGCCTTTCCGAGCTCGTAATACAATTGGCTGCATTCCTTGGTCGATAGCACAACCGCAAACTCTAACCGCCCAAATCCCTTGACGTAAAGTTTAAAATCGTTTAGCAGAGTAATTTCATAAATGTATACTTGTGCAGTTTTTATGTAAACTATCCACTAAGATGTACCAGATGGAATATTACGTACAAAGAAAGTCAAGACACCGTGGACACATTTGCATTGGAAACTGTAATTTCGCTGCTCTAGCGGTCTACTTTACTATTCGATGGTTGTGAATTCATAAATTTCTTTTAGACTTGAAACAATAACATATTATTATAGTAAATTAGAGTTTAAATTCCCGACTCTCTCCTACTTAGCGTCAGTGTAATCATTGTAGACATCAGTTTTTTTTATAACAAAAAGCCTGTGTTGCTAGCAGATAGTGTAGCTTTTTACAGATCAACGAATTTTTTCATATTACCTTCTGAATGGATGGATCATAAAAAATAATTCCTCCTTATAATATTAGTTCAAAATTCAATTCAAATGATGCTTGCAATGTTCAGGCTATAGATTCAGTTGAGAAGAACTGGCAGAAAACTCAACTGTTATATTCTGTGAATATTGTTTATTTATTTAGGTCTGTCTAATATTCAATTAGAAATCCCATACGTGAACAACTTTTGCTATATAGGCAAGACATTTGCTTGCTTAGTAAATGTTTTAAGTTGAACATGTGTACATGGATATCACTTTAATTTTAGCACAGTGATGTTTAATTTAATGAGTAAGGTTTGCGTGCAGTACGATTGGGATTGTAGCCTACTTTCGAGGACGATCGGCGAAGAACAACGCACTAGGCATATTGACAGATAGGGTTGCTGCTTTCTAAACCAAAACAATGTCCAAATATATAAATAATTAAAATTAAAGATAATTGTTCTTGTATTATAATTATGTTACTTTATCGAAACAAAATTTGTAAACTATCGTCAGTATGCTACTTATGCTACTTATTCTAAGCAGCTTTCTTTGTAAGCTATGATTAGGTTAACGGCTAAGGTAAGATATTTATACATATTTTTGAGAGACACTGCCTATGGTGCTACGTCTATATATATTATATTAGTTATTTGCACTATGGTTGATTGAAAGAAAACGCCAGTAGATGTTAAACTCTCCATGTTCATCTTTCCTTGAGCTACTTGAGTTACAACTGACAATAAACTCGGCTCTATTTTCTATATGAAGTGATAAAGAGTTACTTAGATTTAGAACGAAATCAGTGACCAACGGCATATAATGGTACATGAACAAATCAATTATATTTGAATTTAGGTTGAATAAATGGCAACCCTAACAAACCCGGCCGGGGTGAAAAGTTACCCCGCAACGGTCTGATATTTATCTACCCAATACGGAACCTTGCCCTAAATATCGGGTCAAACAAATGCCAACTAACGTAAAAATATTTGTTTAAATTCATGACAACGTCGATTTGCGTATGTTTTTGCATTTATATTGTTTGACAATCCCAGTGGAGTAGTGGTTTGGTAGACTGTCTCATCTTCCGATGATCGCGGATTCAATACGAAGATTTGTATAAACATTCACACACTCTGCTATACTAAATTGGTTCACATGTAATAATCTATTATTGAACTCCAACAAAACTAAGTGCATTAAATTCACGCTGCCTAATGTAAAACAAGTAAATACGCAGCTATTGCTTAATGATGAAATAGTAAATTTTGTTAATGATACAGTTTTTTTAGGAATAACAGTGGACTCGAAGTTACAATGGGGGCCCCATATTTCAAAATTAGCCAGTAGACTTAGTTCTGCTGCTTATGCAATTAGAAGGATAAGGCAATTAACAGACGTGGCGACGGCAAAACTTGTATATTTTAGTTATTTCCATAGCATTATGTCATATGGCATACTGCTATGGGGTAAAGCTGCCGATATAAATACTATATTTATTTTACAAAAGAGAGCCATACGTTCTATTTATGGTATGGGTTCTAGAGAGTCATTACGTCAATGCTTTAAACAATCAAATATCCTCACCGTTGCCTCACAGTACATTTATGAAAATATTATGTATACAAGGAAAAACTTAGATAGTTTCAAGAAACTTAAAGACTGTACAAGTAGAAACTTACGCAATAAAAATAAGCTAATTTTACCTAAATGCCGTCTACACAAAGTTAGTAATTCATTTTATGGTAATTGCGTAAGATTCTATAATAAACTGCCAGAGTCTATGCTAAATCTTACAGAGAGGCAATTCAAATCTTATATTAAACAAATGTTATGTAAAAAAGCCTATTATAAGATAGATGAATTTATAGATGATAGCAATATATAGCAAGAATAAGTTTATTTGCGGACAACGTTATAATTTTAATTTTCATACTGCTTTCTTGATATATGATAGCGTAGCGGCTTTTGTATTGATTGCCGCATGCATCCTTATGTAAAGTGCGAATACTGTAACTACCATATAGTAATTTTTGTAGCTGTGACGTGGTCGTGTGGAATGAGTAGTCATGCTCACTAAAATGTCCAGACATGTGGCGGCGTGGTGGGCCGGGTCAATCTCTAAAATATGGTCGAGCGCAGTGATGGCTGGCTCATCCGTCATACTCGTGAACGAGTGCTGCTTGTAGGGACTGGTCTGCTCTTATCACTACGACTGATTTAATCTTATTGCATGATTATATTTGACCCAAAAATTAGTGCTTGTTGGTAGTTTGTATTCACACGTTTCGACTTGTAAATGTAAACTTACAAGGATTATTTAAAAGAGCAACACACAAGTTTCTTGCTCGTTCTTCTTGTGATGAGACAGCTTTCCGAACGAGTGGTAGATAAAAAACAAATTGTTATGACTATTCAAAAGTGCTTAAATTAAGTTTATTTGAATAAATGATTTTCTATTTCTATTTTCTATTTCTATTTCTATTTCATTCGTGTATTTATCAGTAAATATTATCCACATCAAACAAAGTGGGATTCAGTTTTACAAGTTAATTTGATTTGTTATCGGTGTTGCCATAACTCATGTGAACAAACCTTTATAATTATATGAATATCACTCTTAATATTGTTATTAACGTTTTAATCTAGGATATGGGCTACTAGTTTAGCAAAATTTATTAATTATAAGAATCCATTAATAATCCAATAGAATTATCCATTATCCATAAGAATCCAAGCCATTTAAATATAATTATATTCTCGAACATTTTAAAGAAAGTTTCACATATATAACATTATTCATGTAATTCGAATGGGAACAAGTTGCCGTTTCACCTGATGGTAAGTGATCATAGTTACCTTTAAATATGAATAGCGTTACGGACAACACGATGCTATTACAGTGGACTAAGATATTAAGCATCTCGGCCTGTAATTTTACGATCTTATACTAACCCTTCAACCGAAAAGCTGCTTACAATACAACTTGTTAGGAGATTGAAATGGCAGTATACGTAGATAATGAGGTACCTACGCAGACGACTTGACAATGTCTACCGCGGTCAAAAATAATGTGTAGGATAACGCAGTTTATATTCAATAAATTCATTAATGGTGCATGTCTGTGCTTTATCTGTATATTCTGTAGATACATCATTACTTATGGGTATATTAATAATAATAATAATAATTTCGGCCCGTAAGTGTGGAGAAAACCAGCAAAAGCTGAGAATAAAAATAAATAAAGAACAATAATAATAATAATAATCTGGCTCACGAGAAAAAAAAAATCATTCCAAAGAACAACCAGTCTGGAACAACATAATGATAATCTCAGCCCGCATTGTACGCCGGTTTCTGTCCCTGGGGCCCTGAACCCCGGCCGACTGTGCTTCTGCCATCTAGATGAGTAAAAATAATAATAATAATCTCAGGACAATTCACACGCCGCCATCTAGACCCAAGTTTAGCTAGCTAAAGCTTATGCTATGGATACTATAATAGATAATTGATACAAATACTTAGATTTTTTTTTCTAAATACATACATATTATACATAGAAAACATCCAGACCGATACAGACAATCATATTCATGAAAACAAATGTTAGTGCCGTGCGAGGAATCGAATCCGCGACCATCGGACGGTAAGCGGTGTGCTAGCTACTACCACTAGACCACCGAGGTCATCATATATTAGTTTGTTTACTTATATTGTGCACTAATTACTCATCATTATAAATTCGTTCACTCAAATTCATATTATCAGAGAATGGTTTTGGCTTCAGTTTTATTTTAGGACCTGCCGCCTGCCTAACATCAACCTTCCTTGGGCATTTAGTAATTACTATTAGTAAAGATTATTAATTAGCATAAGACAATTCAATAGGATCAGTAACATGCAATATTACACCGTTAATCTTCCTAAAATAATAAATATTTAATTTTCATTCCAGATTACCTCTGCCATGGCTGTTATACGGGTTAATTAATGGTGAGCCAGTCCAAGTGAACTCCAAGGGTATGGTCTGCAGCATTGTCCTGCTATTTGCCATGCTGCTTTTCGTCATCCTCAGCATAGCCTGCTTCAGGTGGAAAATGAACAGAGGACTGGGCTTCACGATGTTCCTTCTTTACTTTGTCTTCGTTGCAGTAAGTTTAGGTCTTGAATACGGATACTTGCATTGTCCCAGCGAGTAAAGCAACATCATCGTCATGGAATTGAAGACAATGTTTAACGTTTTAATTTTCTGATTTCTCAACTTTATTAGAAGCAAATGGTTAATTGGGAATATTCTTTGCGACAATCCAGTATCTAAATTAAATAAGTTAATAACTGTAGTATCATTTATATCAAATGACGTAGTATAGGATGGAAATTTTGTACATATAGCTAAAGTGCTTTAAAATCTAACGGCCGATTAAATGATAGACGAATTTTGAAATGATTATTATATAATAGAAGTTCTGGATTGTTAAATAGGAAATTCCCAATCAACACGATTATGACTTTGTACTTATTTCTATTAATTAGATTTTGAAGAAATTATAGTCCTTTTGAGGGTTTATGCTTTAGAAGATCAATAATTATTTCTATATACAAATAGATGACAACTTTATGATGATGTATTTACCGTGAATAAAGTTTATTTAAAAGTTAGCGTTACTACTAATGTTAATTTTCTTTATATGTACCTCCCTATTTTCTATAGATGTCGTAATAGCACAAATTATAAAAGAAATAAATTGCTCAATTAACTTTCTTACGTTGTGATTGTTTTGCTGAATAGAATTATTTTAGAATTTTCTAATTATACTGGCTTGTGATAGAGTACAGTTCAAGAGAGAATCGAGCACCAAATGTAATTTTTAAGAAGTTATTGTTTGAAATATTTCCCATGTAGTGGAAATAAAACGGATTGAATTCTAAATATTCCTAAATGCAATAAATTATAAAAAGCTTCGGTGACTATAAACAGAGTAGATCTATACGAAACTTTGAAGGTTATGTAAAATGAATAATTCTTTTTTTATATTAAAGAGACTATAAGTAATTACAGATATTTAGGCCATCAATAGAGACTGTAATAGTTTATTATATAAATGTTAGTTGTTCATTAAATGGCGCTTAAGACAACGTTTCTGCGTCGATGGTGTAAATTAATTTTTCTAATTTATATTGAGTACTAATTTTGAAATAAATTCGTTACTAGATTTTAAAATATTTACAACACAACTACTGCAATATGTGATATCGTATCAAATTTAATATACGTCGAAGTCGATTATGTTTTATAGTGTGTACCGAAATATTAGGATGTTCGTGTACAAGTCAGTGAAGTTATTTTTGTATATAAAAATCTTGTTTTGTATACAAATGATAATAGTGTATTATGGATAGCTACAGGTCGGTATGACCTGACAGATCAGTCCATGGTTCGATGTAAATCATTAATTTTAACGTAACGTGAAATAAATTCTTGCGGGTAGATGTCGGTAATGTTGTCTCAGCACAATTTGCTAGAAATGAAAGAGTTGTAAATACACAAGTAGAGGAAGATAAGGCGATCATGGAGCGGGGCAAATGTGACAGAATTTTTAATAAAGTTCTCATTCCATAAAATGTGCCTAAGAGTTCCTACGAACTCAATAACATTGTTAGCTTCGTTTTAAATATTGTAATGCGCCGATACGAAAAGTACTAACTTTCATATATGTAGGTACTGTCAATGTAGCTATCGTTATAATAATAGACCTAAAGTTTCCAGGGCGCATATGTCCCGCTCTCAAATATTATACGGTAGTTATATTTTACCCTATTCACTATAATTCTTCTATACTTTTATTTCTTGTATTTCTCGAGTGGTTAATCTTTACCTTCAATTATATATTATTCTATTATAAAAATAATAACATCTGACAAAATAGTCAATTCTTAAAAATACGTTTTAGCTGTAAGAAATGTATTTTTCTTCATGCGTTCAACAAGACACAGTTCGAAGGGTAATTTAAAATTGGTTCATTAATAAAACCGTCCAGTTTTCTTTCTGATCTTTTCGTTATATGTGCTTTCGCTTTCTCCGTATTTTTCTTATTTCATTTTGACTAGCTTATCAATAGGTGGTTAATGATGATTTTAGTATCAAACAATTTTGTATGTTCAATTGTTAACATCCCACAAAGTTTTATATTGATAACCCGCCTATTTGACATAGCAATAAATAGACTAGAATAGATAGTTAAATATTTGTATTTTAAGCTTTAACAATCAGACCATTGTGTAAAGCTCAAGTGGTTAAAAGTAAATTCATTGTAAAGTTTGTTTAGTTCGTACAAAATTCATTAATATGTATATTGAATGCGCACAAGTGTATCAAACATTTATATTTGCTTATGTAATGAATTATTGACTAATATTTTTCATAACTATATACGAGAATTTAACAAACTTACTGTGTTTTCCTCTTTCACGACAATTGTTTCGACTTCGTCCGGAAATCTTCTTCAGGGTGAGTATGTAGCCTTCGCTGCAACGTCTTACCTCAGACTGTAATTCCCGTAAACAGTTATGAAAAATGCTAGTGTAAAAATGAATAAATTTTAGAAATATTAACTATTTATTTCTTTTTGATAGAACTTAAAGAGTAAATAGAGAGTTATTTAAATTCGTATAGAATGAACACTGTTGCACTTGATACATAATGTATGACAAATTAGCGGTGGTTTTGACATTTTTAATAACGACATATCGATAGGTACCGGACAATCGAGTAGGTCATAATCTGTGATAAGGGCATGCTTATGACGTATTTATAAAGTGTTTATAGAAATTCATCTCTTTACAATCACAAATTCTTTATATATAAGGTTAGGCTTGGATTTGATAGACTTCTGTAGTTCGCTTAGCGGCCACTCTCGGTCGAGCAGTTTCGATTACTATTAAAAATCTTATTAAACATCTATAACTACAAATTATATTCCAATTCCTATACTTTCATCTAAATTTTCCAATGGAACTGTAAAGCCGTCGAGTGGTCAATCTATACAAGTGTTAAGAAATGAATCATCTTTGCTCTAACTGATGCAATTACTTCTTTAAGGTTTGGTGATATATTACTCATTATATTTAATAATTCAATCTAGTACGACGTAGATGCTGTAAATTGGAGTATATCCTTTTACATATTTGTAACTGTCATACTGTGGGAAGCACCAAGTACCATGCGCGTACGATTTGTATGTATCGCCTATTAAGCTACGCTAAATATAATTATTACTATTACACTAGCGATTTCTATCTATCTCTTGTATAATATAAGTAGAATTTGTAAATTTATCATCCTTCCATTGTTTGTAGTAGTGCGATGCCGTTGGGTCTGTCGGACTGAGTTTCAAATCATGGGTTAGGTACTTCACGTGGGCGTTGGTCCCTCCTACTGCATGTCACACGTAGTTACATCAACTTGCATTTGTTCAGTACCAAATAGCACGTCGAGCTAGATACCATTACTCAGCGTTTGTTATACCTAGTTACTGTAAGAGTTGACTCTATTAACTATTCGTACGGTATCGTCTCACTTATTGGTACCGATTAACTCGTAAACTTTATAACTTCTTTCGTAGACTAAGATATCTATAGACTAAATGCTATCATTAAAATTAAAAATGTTTATTAACAAAAAATTAAAATATAATAATATCCAGGTAGAGATTGTTACTAGAGTGATGGTTTTTATATAAAAAATTATAAAGTAAAAATTTATGCAGATAATAAAAATATTAGCATTACACTTTTTTTGACACACACGCGTCAATACGAACACCATAAATGTAATGTCGTATGTTTAGTGAAATATGCTATTACTCTTTATATTCAGCTTTAAATTTGTATGGGTCAAGAAAAGTGAAGTGGATTTACATAGTCATCGATTTGGTTTATGGCTGATTCATCTCGATTTCGGGATGTTGTGACGAGATGTAGTACAAATCTGGATCGAAGTAGACAAATTGAAGAACATACAACAATGTTACAAGAGTATAATAAAATATTGAAATATATCTGCAAAGGTTTTCGGTAAATTTAATTAAATTTTGATAACACTGATGATTTTTTTGTAATTGTTCATGTCTATAATATGAAGAAATTCGAAAGTACAAAAATATGAAAACATTATTCAAACTAAATTTAACTATATAAATGAAGTCAAAAAGTATAATTTTGAAGAAAACAAAGGTGCAAACGAAATGTAATGATCAACAATTGAGTTAAAACCTCGAAGTCGAGATATCAGCGTAGGTTGTTAATAGTGATACTACAAATTAAGTAAAAGTAAAAAAAAATGTTATTAATTTTAAACAAAGTAGATAAGTTTTAGGAATTTTCATCATGTTGTAATGATAAAAAAATGGGAAGTAAAGCTCTAGTCGGCATTTAATTTTGTATCGGGTTATTGTGATTTTGATGGTGTATTAGCAGTATTACATGGTTTATCATTGATTTCAGTGAGCTAGTTGAGTTTTAAAGTTGTATATATATAAATATATATACATATTAAATTTTTGCTGTACACTATTTAATATTGTTGCTATTGTCAAAGCTTTTAATATTGTTGACCCAGAAGTAAATCTTGGTAGAACTGTGGAGAGGCTACGCTATCATTGATTAAATATCTTACAACAGATATGTTTGACGGCTTCGGTGGTCTAATGGTTGAGTACAACGCTTTACTACCGATGGCCACTGGTTCAAACCTCGCATGATACAAACAATTGTATTCATGAGTATAATTGTTTGTATCGGTCTGAATTTTCCATGCATATTGTCTGTATTTACAAAAAATATATTTACGTATTTCTATCAGCTGTTATATAGTCAGAGGTACCAGATTTATATAAATTTACTAATGATGCAATTTCTAATATGGAGTCTCGTGAACAGTTCAATCAAGATTTGTTTTTGTGATTGTTAATAATTAAACATTGTGATAGTTTCTCTAATTGTTTATGCATTCAGATGTTTATAGACGATACATTGGTTTATGATAGTGGTTTGAAGTTTAATTTTACGTATCTGAAGAGCATCGGCGTACCCGCACGCTGTCGAACGGCGGTATTATGAGAAATTACAATAAAAATAATAAAATAGTGAGTGAGCATGTCTTTTATTTTAATATAATCTTTATACATCCACCCTATTACCTAGATAGACTTTGTAAAAAGTCGTCTGGGTCCTCAATTTCACCTATTTTAGACGCCAAATACGAATATTGCAGTGTTGCAGAGAGATTAGGCAGTTAAATTACAGGATAACAGATATGACATTTTAGTCATCTTAGTAAATGCATAAGTGGTATTACAAATGTCACATTATAAGTGCATGGGACTGTTCATGGATATAAGCAACGGCTACCGCTTACCATCAGTTAAGCCGATATACTGTTTTTTATTCTAATTACATAAAAGAAACTAATTTACAACTATGAAAGTATGCCTATTTGTTCGTACTATAGAATGTTAATGCATTTGTGGTATCACAGCTTCGCTTTATAATGTGAAATCTGTAAGACTGTTCATGTATAAGCGATGGTTACCGTTTACCATCATTTGAGCCGACAACTTGTTTGCTTTTTCAATTACATAAAAAAACTAATATTATAAATATGAAAGTGTGTTTGTTTCTTATAGTTTTCCAGTTAAATAGCTAAATGACCTGAATATATAAATAAGTATCATCACTCACTCTACAAAAAATAACGCATGAAGTCATATAAATACATCATGTTTTGTTTCTAGTCGAATCGTAACTCTAAAAAGAAATTGCGTATATTAATAAAACCCTGAATATCTAAATACTTTTTATTGATGAACATAATACATTTATGCTATATAAAAATAATGTTCGATAATATTTGACATCGCTCCGATACAAAAATACGATAACAGCTAAATACACTTATTGAGATCGAACACTAAAATAATTTATTTAGACCGTTCACTGTGCGTGTCGCTAACATTAACAATACGAGACCAAAGTAAGTTAATTATAATTTAATAGCAAACATCTTTATAATAAAGGACATAAAACAAAAAGCTAAACGTAAGAAATATGTCCATATATTTTGATCTAAGAAGATAGAATATAACAATTTAGAAAGTTGCCGAAAATTGGCGCTATAGTAAAATTTGCCACCCATCTCAGTACTGTTCCACTGTCAATACATGGCACAAACATGTTGAGTGACCATGCAATATTCCAAATTGCAGTGATAACATTAATCGTACAATAACGAGATGATTAATGCTTTGAAAATTTGCCATTGTCGCAATGGACAAATTAATGTTACATGACCCAATCGATGCAGGAGGGTAGTTACAACAATGCATGGCGCATTCTCACGCGGCAAAACAGTAAAAATGCTAGTAGCGCCGCGAACGCCGCTCCGGCCAGTATCGTTGTATCGTCTCTGCGAGTCCCGCCTGCTCTCTCTACTACTGCACTCTGTAAAATACACGTTTTATACTATAAGACTTATTAAGGAACTTTAATAATTTCTTTTTTCAAAAATGGAAAGGCTTTACGTTCCATTTCAGTATCAGAAAGTGTTCTTCGGATAATTATAGTATTACATGAAATTAAAAACTAAAAAATGTTTCATATAACAGGTGGGATAGATTGTAAGACTGATTGACTGTTCCTTACTACAAAGTTCTAATCATAACATTCTAGAAATATAAGAACCAATTTCACTGTATCAATAAATGTTCTTCGGATTTCAACAAAAATCTATTATAAAGTAAGTATTACCTCAAATTGAAAACTAATGAATGTTTCATATAACATGTGGGATATATTGTGAGGTTCTAGTGATTCATGAACCAATTACACTTTTTGACGTATTTTGAACAGTCACGCATAGCGTGATTATAAAGAAGTTTCCTCACGTCAATACATGGTCTATAAAAACGAACCTGTAGCAAGTTTATCCATCAAAATAAAGTAAAAATATATATAACATTTTTTCCTCGCCAATAACTACTAAGCAAAGCATTTACTAAGTCCTTGATATTTTAGGCCTCGGAAAGCCATGAAACCGTGAAATGATTTGACTAAAATAACAAACAACTAGTCATATATATCACTTTTACCATGAAGATAAGTTTAGGAAGATACGACTTTAGTCTGAGGGCACCACTAGGGGTTCGAACCTCGGCTCAGGCTGTCGTAATTTCGATCTTCGTTTGAATTGAATTCTAGGGAATTGGGGATCGATCGGAGAGAGATTCTAGTACTCATAATACAAGTTCTGTTTAGTTTGGTACTAGATGGCGTTGTGTGAATTGTAGTAATAAATAGAAAATAGTCACTGATATTTACCCAACTTTCATGTCTGATTGCCCACGGCGTTGCATATTGGGCCACATAATTGGCGTTCCATAGCCAGTCCCACTAAATGGCAATGTGTGAATTGATGTAGGAAAAAAATTATGAAAGGGAAGAAGCTCACTGGCATTTGTCCAACCCCCATGTTTGTTTGCCCACGGCTTGCGCATTGGGCCATATGTCTGACGGTCCATAGCCCACTTGATGGCAATGTATGAATTGTTTTCTGGAGAAAATGATGAAAGAGAAAAGATCGCTGACACTTACCCAACCTCCATGTCTGATTGCCCACGGCGTTGCGCATTGGGCCACATGTCTGGCAGCCCAGTCCGCCGCCCTGCACCAGCCCCCCACGCGAACCGCTCTCGCGCATACTTCGCACAGAAATGCTAACACCACTAGAGCACGTTGTTCGATATGAGCACAAGCCTGAAAGGTAATGTGATGATGTAATTAATGATAATAGAGGATGATGTACGTAATTTTTATGTGCAACGAGATGCGAACGACGATTTTTTTTGCTACGGTGGTGGCAAACAACCTTACGGCCCATCTGTTGGCAAACCGTTGCCATAGTCTCTGGATCCTGAATCGTTACCGTTGCCATCCCTTCAGAATCTTAATATACCCCTCTTGATAAGCCCCACGCTTTAGTCTCTCGAGAAAATTTCGATGATGACGTCTTAAGTACTATATATCATGGAATATTAATGTACTACTACTTTATCTCCAACTGCGATACCATGAGAAAGCCTAAAGTAGGTACATGATTGTATTTCAATCTGAACGATAAACGTGTGATCCATACAGTGTAATCTATACATGTATTAAAAATGCAACTGATTGCTATCTGTACTTGAAAAATATATAAAGTTAACGGTTTTAATGTTAGAAACTAACCATAGTCCCTATATTACGTATCGTTGCATCCGTGGGCTTGACGTAAACTCTCAATATTTAGATAAAATTAATATATATACGAGGAAAACTAAATTGTCATCAAAAACTCTCATTTTTAGAATTGTTATCTGTTTGTGTGAAATAGCTCAACCAATTTGGAGACGGTGTTCACTAATATATTATGGTAAGTTCAACTTAAAATTTGGTATTTGTTTACCGATCGATTTACAAATAAAAAAGTTATGAATTAACGGGTTCATCTAGTTTCTATAACGTTATATGTAAGTATGGCATTACTCGTAAACAGTAATTTGTTACCATTCCTGGTCTATATAAAGGAGAATCTTACCTGGCATAATTCCTGCATAATGTCCTCAAAGGCAACTTCATCAAGGCAAAGTAGGGATATGTGCTCAGCTCTGGCAGCCAGTCTCGCTCTCGCTTTTGTTTCTCTAAACCTTTTTGCCGCCCGTTCCAGGGCTCGCCAGTCACGCCAGTACATCCACCAACCTCTAATCATAACAGGTTTCTCAATTATATATCAAAGACATATTGCATTAAGGTCTATAATGCTATAGTTTGGATTCTTAATAAAATTGGCAAAGTTATGGTTAGCATAGCCAGCAACGTCTTAAAACTAAATAAAAGGTAGAATTAATGAAATTTTACATAACAGTAGCATAACAAATAGGTACTAAACAATATACCTTCATTTATTTATTAATTAAATTATAAATCAAATATATTGGAAATAGTAGTAAAATTGCACGATGATGCTTTCAAATAATCTGTATTTATTACATTACATTTTATAATAATTCATGTACATTTTGGAAGTTTGTTGGTAAATTAGACTTATCTATCATTACAATTAAATTAAATAAATTTGAATCAAAGAGATTCTGTAAAAAAATACCTTGGGTCTGGTTTAGCTGTCGCCACAATACAAGGTGGTGGTTTCAATTCTTCTAGCCTCAAATGCTGGAGCAACAAAGCTCTGAACAGTCTGACACCTTTTTCCTCTTCTTCGCCCAAGAGGTGAGCCCCTCTCCAATGACCCTGGCATTCGTCCCGACGCTCCTCGTCAAGAGAGACTTGTCGCAGCAGAGGCGCACGTGGTGCATCATACTCTTCTAGAGGTTGAACACTGCATGCTGAAATAAAAAGTGACCGATATTACATCTCTGAGTAATATCCAAATCAGAAGTTGTTGTCTATTTCATTAAAGTTAAATTTAGACCAAATTGAGAATATTGTTTTGAACAAAGGATAAGTAAAGTAATTGTCTCGAGTCAATTTTTATCTGTACCTAATTCTCGTTACTCAAATAAGAAATTTAGATATTACAATAATGTTAGAAGTATCTATACTTTTATTAATGTTAACACATCATAATAATTACACTGCTTAGCTCTGCTGATCTGCAATATCATAATACTGTCCTTTAATATTCAATATTCTATTACTATACTAGTTTCTAGACACGGTGTCATGACATGGAAATCTTACAAAAATATGGCTTTTCCAATATTTTTGTATTCAACAACTTCAGTCTTGACGTAATATAGCATGCTACAAACATGGTACTAAACTCGTTATATTATTAAAATCATCATGAAAATACTAAACTAGTAGTATAACGTGGTATACACACACTCAACACAGAAAATGTAATCAGAACTTTGAAATAGAAAAGCTTGTTCATTGAAGTTCTGTAGTAAAATGTCATTATTGATTTAAATGGTGACAACCAGCTAGCAAATACAGCAAATATTTAATATTGTCGAAAAAATTCCGAAACCACGTAGCGCTTAGCAACAGCATCAGTAACATTCTAGATACTAGAAAAGTGACCAAGATACAATATAGAAATTCCTGTAGACGTACCATGAACAGCAGCTAACGGAGGCACTAAATCCATTTCCTATCTAATATTGTTAGTTATTATATTTTTAAGCTTAAACTCCAAAATGTGGATAATACTTCTTGAAGTCTGCTCAGTATATGACAGTGTAAACGTTAAACACAAACGACCTTGGTAACAGCAGGTCATGTCCCTGACATAGTTACTGACGCATGCGCGAAAGCTGCGTCTCTTTTGTGGGAACTTCAAAGCTCTCATGTTTCAGACAATGATAGAGGAACAATAATGATAAAGTCTGTAGGCTTATTGAATTTGAAATAGAACAATTCAAGTGTCCTAAAGAATAATGTAGCTAGGTATCTGTAGATTCCAAATAATGAACACGGCGAGTCAAAGATTTAAAGTAATTTTTTTTAAATATATTAAGATATTACCTATATTAAATAGGTATAATAAGGTATTTAATTCTCACATATTTTGGTTTTTATAATGATTTTGATATGTATAAAAATCCGTTGCGTAGTTTAAAAGATCTATGCAGATTGCGGGAGCGATTTTGTTTTATACGTATATACTATTTAAAAATGGGTGAGCTGATTTCTCCTTTAAAACGTAACTGCCATTCGTTTACAATACAGTGCTACTTTTAAGAACTATATCTGGGTTGACTCCGTGTCAAATACGTACACCATCCTCCGTGACATATGTACAAACACCAGGGACGATGACTTCTATGTAATTTTCATTTCGAACTCTACGTATTCCAAACTTTTAATTAATAATAAACTCGAAAATCCGAATTCTATTTGGTCTCTAGTTCCCTATAACTGTTTTCTACATCTAGTTGCAATGAAAACTTTATTAAAATATAAATTACTCTGCTACAATTCATAACAAGTAGCTCCTCAAGCGTACCAATCTTATTAATATTATAAACACGAAAGTTTGTGAGTATAGATATCCATCTATTCCATTTGTTATTCTATCACGCAAAGAATACTAAACTGCTTTTGAAAAACTTTACAGTAATATAACTTATACATCAAAATAACATTAACACAATTTTACGCGGATGAAACCGTGGTCACAGCTAGTTTTAAATACATTGAAATGCCAGTTATTTGTTCTGAGAATCTATTTTGGTTTGGTCATAAATTTTTCATTCGTTAATATGTTTTCCTTACAAGTCTCCATTTTAGTTTCCGTAGATTGAGACAAATGAGAAAAAAAAAATGGAAGTACCCAGCCAAACTGTGTAATAATTGATAATGGTATTTCTATTAATTTATTACATTGTTTCTATTGAGTTCGTACTTTTCGTTGTTATGAATGAACAATCTGAAGACCGTACTATGGCTGTCGATTGCTTGATTGAGTTCAGAGTTTAAATAGCGCTCCCAATTGTCGGTTATCGGGACCGTTGTGCAACTACTCGTATCGTGCCGGAAGAATCATATTGGACCGGATTATGTTCAGATAACTCGACAAGGGAACACGTCCCTCCAAATTATACGAAGTGGCCCTGAAAATTAAGTTCAAAATTCTTCATCGGAAGATTTCAATTACTCAGTACCTATGTCTGATACAAATAAAAGATGGAATAATGATTAGTGATGCGGATTTGTGGATTTGTGATGGTGTTAATACAGTGATGTTAAAATAATTCTCAAAATGAAAAACGGTAAAAGAAAATTATCAACAGACAGCGGTGTTGATGCAACTTGCTGTAAAAACTTGTCTATTTTCGCTTGCGTGTGTGCAGTAATATCCCTTATAGCTCATACTTACAATTACATAGAAATCGGAGATGCGAAGGCCAATTTAAATACAGAAGCTAGAAATGTAGTGAGAAATATGTTAGAAGATAAATTAGAAGAAAAAATTGAAAGTTACTTCACAGAACTCAGTGGAACAACATTAAGTAGACTAAAACGAGAAGCTATGTTGGTATGCAAAAAAATACAAAACAATTCGCATGTTTTTAGAGTTGTTTTTGAACGTAGTGAATTGAACATTTGTTTAAATTTTAAACTATAGTTAAAATAATGAACAGACTTTGTCAACAAGTAAACCACATAATCCTTTTATAAATGTATGTATCATTGTGAGTATTATTAACCAATTGCTCACCGTAAAGTCTGCTACAATACTTTGTACCTTTATTTTTCTGAATAAAGTTGTACATTTTCATTTGTAATACCTTTTAATTCATTTCTGAACACCGATTTTTTTATCATAAATTTATTTTTATAATAATGCCAGACCAATTTTATACATGGTGAAGATTTGGCATGAATTGTTTAAATATTGATGATGCTAGCCTAATATCTGAAATGTGCGAAAGAGATGAGAGAGATTAACAATATGTACGTTCATAGAACCAAACAATAATATTACTTCCAGAAATCATCTCAAATTCAAGAAGATAATACTGTGGCACCACATGTTGAGTTCTTTAATCCAAAAATGCGCGCAGAACTTGAAGAGAAGGATGCAGCTGAAATGCGCCGGACTGGTGCCAAGGGTCCGGCTCCTGGTGGCGACACATGGGTGTGGCTCACCAGTTACTCCAGGGTTCCAGTATGTTAAATTAATAAATAGTGTTATGGACAATTTTATGCAGCTTATCACTTAAATAAAAAGTAATATTCACAGTTGAGTTTGGTTAAACGATACTTTCCATATTAAATGGTAAACCACAAATAATTAATAAAATAAATCGGAGTATTCGCAAGATCTACTGATAAACTGAGTCTATGCATAAAAAATTAGAATCTGGGCTGATTAATTAATGCACAGTCAGAACTAACATAAGTCTAAAATAATGAATTACTTCTTATAACAAAAGTATATGATTATTATTTGCTTGATAATCACAACATATAAAAATATAGTAATGTATAGTAATTTATTATGAAGAAGAGATAAGGGCTTTCTAATTTCTATATTTCACTAAGGTATATTAATCATTTTAATTTTAGTACAAAGTAGTGCAAGGCTTTTGCAAGGCAACCCAGGACTACTGTCCTCCCGGAGTCCAAGGCCCTAAAGGTCCTACTGGTATGCCAGGACCTAAAGGAGAAAGGGGTGATCCAGGTGCACCTGGAACCCCAGGCCATGCGGGGACTAGGGGACCACTTGGACCACCGGGTCCTAAAGGTAAAGTTAATTAAATTATAAAACCTATATTTAAAATATCAGTACGTCATTACATTTCACTCTTGTAATGTTGTCATCACAATTAGCTTGAATAATTTTGGCAAATCGAGTATCAAGTGGTCCACAGTAATAATATAATTGAAGTCTTTATCTACGCCTGAGATAGCAGTTGACTAAAATCATTTTGTAACAGAAAAGTTGTTGTTATTAGGTTTGTTCTGAGGCGCTACTGACGTAAATTTAGGAAAACGTCTCCAGTGGTATGATCGTTAAAACGTGACTGTGCCACAAGTATTCTTTACTAATTATAATATTAGAAGAATTTTATTAACAATTGCATATATATGAATCTTCAGGAGAACGTGGATTTCCTGGCAATGCTGGACTTGATGGTCGTGATGGAGTACCAGGAGAGCCTGGACTCGATGGAATGTCAGGTAGAAATGGCGCAGATGGAGCTCCAGGTAAAGATGGACGCGACGGGGTGCCAGGTAGAGATGGCAGTCCGGGAAAGAACGGGAAGGACGGAAAAGACGGTATGTGAAATTTTTTATTGTTAGTTCATTACTAATATTATTTTTGTAGGTTGAATATTAAACTATGATGGACGAACAGTCTAGCGCATGGATAAAGTATCTTGTACAATGAAGCTTGTGTTTTACTTTTTAGTAATCGCTACGTTATAGAGTTATATTTTTGCTAACTAAAATTACATCTTGTTATTTTAAATTTACCTATTTTTTTTGTTGATAAAAAAAGATTCTAGAGAACTAGTCCACCCAAGTTCTAATGATATCATCCACTTCTTCATTAGGTAGAGCCGGGGCGCCAGGCCCGCCCGGTCTTCGGGGTGTAAAAGGCGATCGGGGACCTACAGGTCCCAAGGGTCAACGTGGCAACGACGGGCGAGATGGTGCACCGGGCAGACCTGGACTCTCCATATACAACTATACAAAAGAGAAGGAACTGTTTATACCGCCAACATTTGCACGTTAGTATTATTAATATTTGTATCAAGTAAATAAAATAGTTTAACTATTTAAAAAACACAAATGAAAATTTTTTTTGTGATTTCAATTTAATTATTATTTAATTGAAATCCAAAAAGGTCTAAAGCATATTTTATGACCCAGATGGTCTAGTCTTTTAGCACTTAGCACATCCTCTTAGTTCCGATATAGTCAGGTTCGACACCTCGCACGGTGCAAACATTTGTATTCATGAGTATTAGTCTGAGTGTTTTTTATAATATATATTTATATGTTGTATGTATTGGCAAAAATAATTTGTTTAAGTATTTCTATCAATTGTCAAGTAACTATAACACAAGCTCTATTTAGCTTGTGACTAGATGAAATGTCCAGGGATATAATTATTATACTAGCTGTTCCCGCGATTTCGTCCGTGTGGAATTTTATATTAATTTCTAAAATAAAATGTTTTTTCTAAAATAAAAGTAGCCTAAGTTACTCCATATTACATCAGCTACCTGCCAAAAAAAGTCCCGTTAAAATCGGTCCAGCCATTTCAGAAATTAGCCGGAACAAACAGACCGACAGACAGACAGACAAAAATTTATAAGTGTTTTTCGGTATATATATCGTATTTATATTTATATGCATGTAGTAAAAAACGGTTATTTTAATATTACAAACAGACACTCCAATTTTATTTATATGTATAGATTATATACGAGTACTAGTTATCATTCAATATCTTATAGAGGACTATCAGAGAATATTTATACATATAACAATATCCCAATTTTTTCGTACACGTATGGCTGATCCACTTGATCAGAAGAACACATTATCCTTTAACATTTTCTAGGTTTACTAGAAGCAATCTCTTATTAGACATTCGCTCGATTACATTTATTGTATTATATCATTAATTTTTTTCTATGTGTGTACAGTAATGAATAATGGAATAATAAAATAATTCGTAGATAGAAATTTTATAACAGAAGTATACCTTTCTCTAATTTCAGAGGAACACACTCGTGTAATAGTCCGTGAGAGTGACACGCTTCGCATCAGCTGCAATCCAACTGGCCGGCCTGAACCATCCGTGGAATGGAGAAGATCTGATGGGACCGCTATTATTCAGGTATGTCAATATAGTAATAATATAAGCTTTTGACGGCCTCCGTGGTCTAGCGATTTAGCGCCTTACTTCCGATGGTCGCGGGTTCGATTCCTCGCACGGCACAAACATTAGCATTCAAACATTTCCATGTATTATATGTATGTATGTATTTGTGAAAAAAATATGTCTATAATATAATTTATTACTAATTAATAGGGTTCATGGCGAGATGCATCTGTGAGCGGTCATCTCCTCAATATTCCAAATGTATCAAGATGGCACACAGGGAAGTACGTGTGTCTGGCCAATAACGGGATGCTGCCATCTGCCAACCAAACTACGGACGTAGAAGTACACTGTACGTATATAAACTATGTAATATTATGTTACCTGTGATACTAGTTACCATCCAATATGGTTGGTCTATATCGGACCGCAATTATAGTTATGTGTGTTTCTGCCGGCCGGCCACCGTTTGTGTACATTACAATCAGTCGCCAAAATACTGCCGTGTAGACACAACGTCGCTTCATTTAAATTTAAGTACAAAATTTCCACTTCTCCCAAAGCAAACAGAAAGCAGCTTTAACACAAACAACATAATATTTTATAGAAATGTATTAAATAATAATTATATATACAACAATATCTCAAGGTCTCCTTTTTTCGTACATGTACTCGTATGTATAGCTGATCTAGTTAACACACTATCCTATGACATTTTCTAGGTTTGCTGGAAGAAATCTCTTTTTAGGGATCGCCCTTGTACATTTATTGTATCATACTACTGACATAGAAGTACACTGCACGTATATAAACCTATTTATCTTATCTAATATTAAAAATCCCCATCGATCTATTCGCCATCCAATTCAAACGGGGATCGAAATTACGACTGCCTGAGCCAAGGTTCGAACCCCTAGCGGTGCTCTCAAACTAAAATTGTATCCGTCAGGCGAGAGTTAGCCTTCAGCCGCTCCATAAGTCCTTCCGCTGGTTTGCAGTGTCAACTGCACTCGCCCCTTATCGTCTGGTAAAGCTGTAAAGGCTAGCTGCAGCCAACAACATTAGAATAATCCGAAAAAAACTAATATTTAAAAAATGCGAAAGCAACTGTCTATTTGTTTCGCTTTCACACCAAAACTACTAAACCAATTTAAATGAAATTTGGTAAACAGATAGTCTAGACCTTGAGAAAGGACATAGGCTACTTTTTTAGAATTGTAAGGGGTTGAAAGGTAGTATAGAAGTATAGTTATTTTTAATGCTAGAAACTTGAAACTTATTTTTAGGGTGTTGATTAAAAATAAACAAAGTTTCTTTATTTAGTTTAGTATATTTAAATATAAATAAAGATTATATGAACAAAGATTATTTCAATTTCTAATGAAGTTGTGTTGTTCCGTATTGTTTCAGTTAGCCCCTATATAAGGGTACCGAACAACATAGTGTATGTGTACAACAAAACGGCCAAAATAGAGTGTGAGGTAAGTTAAAAACACAATTCTCTTATCTTTTGGTATCTTACATTAAATCTTAGGTAAAATTATTTTGTCCTTTCCCACCACTACTCATCAACCGCTTGTTGTTCCATTAGTATTGTTCTTACCATTAGGTAAGAACAGAAAGCGGTCCTATATATTAAGTTAACTGGTAGAGAACAACATAGTGTGTAAAATTTTTAAGTGCAATAAAATAATAAATTAATTAAATTAAAATCTTGTTCCTGCACCTTTTTTATGTAATTGAAATGGCTGACGGTCCACCTGATGATAAATGGTATCCGTGGTTTATACATATAAATATATACATATATATGAACAGTGGTATGGATATCATGTTATATGTGACTCTTACCACTCATGCGCAAAATGTCATGCAAGCCCATAATTTAAGCACACTAAATAAGACACTTCCGATGGCCGCGGGTTCGATTCCTCGCACGGTGCAAACATTTGTATTCATGAGTATGGCGTTTGGATCCATCTGGAAGTTTTCTATGTACCGGTATATTATGTATATATGTACAAAAAATATTAAATATTAGATGTGGTACCCATAACAAAAGCTCTGCTTAGTTTGGGACTACATGGCACTGTGTGAATTGCCCTGGGTTTTTGTACTAAGTTCCTAGGCTTATTATGAATATTGCAGATACAAGCCTGGCCGGAACCAGTTCTCGCTTGGGAGTATGAAGGCATAACCCTGGAAGGTCCTCGGTACAAAACAGAGGTGGTAACAACTGGTGATCCCTGGCGGTGGATCATGAGATTAGAGATCCCAGGAGTGAGGGAGCATGACCTTCGCCAGTACAGTTGTGTTGCGAAGAACGAGCTGAATAATCAAACTGTGAAAGGACATATTAAACTTGCGTGTGAGTAATTTTTATGTATAACTAGTCTGACCATAAATACTGTTATATAACAAATCTATTATTTTTTTCAACTTTTTAATTATTTTGAATTTGGAACACGTATATTATTTTAAAAACTTCTTTCAATTTTGCGTCATTTCATATTTTTTCGTGTTCATTATCTCATTTCTCTTAAAAAATCTTTGGAGCAAGCAGTGGCGAAATTTCCCTGGGAAACACGGCGTTAAGCACTTAAATCCATAGATTCGTGGTCAAACTGACTAAAGGCCTGTATAAAAGCCAAAGGTGGCCATTGCGAATAGAATATTTTTTTGTTTTGCCGAGATTTTAATAAATATGTAGGTATAGATTTTAATAATATTACATTACTGAATTTAAAAAAAAAAAGTATTTTCATTTGTAATAGAACTTATAGCTGGACTAGGTATAAATTGTTCATGTAGATCATTTTTATATCAACATTTTTTATGATATTGGATGTAACGAATCTGATGGTGAATCCGTGATGATGGTGAATGAAATCACATAGATTATGATAATAAAATATATTAATATGCAGCTGCGAACTATGGTAAAGACTGCTACAATAATTGAAATGTATCCAAACACATGACATATAAAACTAGTTGTTCTAAATATATAAATTTTAAAAATATCAAAAGTTATTGCGGTCTTCAAAACATGGCTAACAGTTAGAATGATTATTTTAATAAGTGTTGTGATGTTATACGATTTATGGAACAGACCCAAGCCCTCACCAGCAAATGCCGGTACAGCAGCCGATGGAGTTCGGTTCCCGGCCCCCAATCCTCACGTCCTACGAGGAGCTGTGCCAGGTGCAGCGGTGCCCGTCTTGTCCCCGCTGCGACCGAGCCCAACTACTGATACTGACTATGAACTCCACTGCAGGGTACAATATGAGAAGGAATACCAGTACGTCTTTTGTTTTTATTTGTATTTATATACGTAAAGGGTATATATACCAAGTCGAATGATAGGCAGATAGAATATTTATGAAAATGATTTCAAATTCACCGATAATTTAATTGGATTTCTGGATACTAAATTGGTCAGGATACCACACCGTTTATATTAATGTTTCATTATTCTTTCTCTTTGTTTATGGAGAGATTTGATCATCTCACTGATTTTCGGAATGACAGTATGTACTCATGACACGGAACAAAGAGCTGTATACAAAAAAATTCGCCGTTTAGTATCTGAGAACCAGGCGAATCGCTCTTGAATACTGCACCAGTCAGATTCTTAAGGAGTTTTATGTAACTGGAACTGTGGGCCATTAGCTTATATGCCCATAAGAGCTAATGGCCCACGAAAATGACAATCGTCGCCAACAGAAATTAACAACAATAACAACACAACGGACATCATAAAACAAATTTGTGACAACATTACCATTCCTGAGCCCTAATGTGTCATGACAATTTTTAATTTGTGAAAAGTTAAAATGTGTAAATATGTTAATATCTAATTCTTAAATAACATTAACTCTAATATAAATCTTTTCTAGATTGTCAACTGTATGCTATAGGAAAACCTGTGTATCACAGATATAAAGACGAACTGTTCGGAGCTTGGCTGAGGGATTCTAATGCTTCAGAGGCTCAGGTAATCTGGATATTTGTGCTTGCGCATATTTCAGAATATTAACCAAATTAAAATTTTTTATACACTTAAGTCAAGTTTTAAAACTAATATATTTATGGTAAATAAAGGTATACCTCTCTCGACGTTTCGGCTAGGTTGCACTGAACGTGGTCAGGAGCTAACTGACCAATATTATTGGATAAAAATTTTTTAACATTGTTTTTGAATCGGCTATAAACGTAACGATTATTGCTCTTCAAACATATCGCCGAGTCTATGGGAACGCTTTCGCATTCGCCTAAGACCCCGCACTGTTCTCATCAAATTGACCTCACATCTATCATAGGCGTGCAAGGAATAACCTCTGCACCCATTTCTTCCTGGTGAACTTCGTATGAGCTGATCCATTCTCCACCCTGCAGCTAGTCATTTATTCCTATGCTGATCTAATTTCAGACACCAACCACTTAGCTTTGAATAGCGAGGCTATAGCCGTGAAAGTTTAGGATACGGAGATGTATCATCTTAGATCTCCTAAATGGCGTCACATGATTAACTGATGTCCGCACTGCTCTTCATATATGCAACGGCTACCAGATAGGACTTCAGTTTGTTTGCCTTTCCAATTACATATATGTATACTCTGTATCTTGCAGAGAGATAAACTATGGACGACGCAGGAGAATGATGTAGAAAGACTACGGGAATATAGGAGCAAAGTCAGTTTCAAGTCGGATCATGTTGATGAATTTCACAAACTACAGAGACCATTCTATGTAAGTATTTATTGTGTATAATATACAGAGATATAATTGGAACAAAGTCGCCTGGTTGGGTAACTCTATATCACCTATTTTAGCCGCGAAACAACTTACCTACTAAGATGTATTTAGCGTGACACAAAGTAGTGAAATTGCTGACTGCAGAGTGGCAATACATGAGAACTTCAAATGTAAGATAATTCATAATTCTGATAAGTCTGAAACTTTAAAAGTCTTAATCTTTAATTTTAAAATATCACCGACAGTTAACCTTATTAATTCTCTTTATTTCGTTTTTACAGGGTAATGGACATATAGTCTACAGCGGGTCATTCTTCTATCAAGCCAACGAGTCTGGTCATCCTGGTGATATCATCAGGTACGACCTGTCGCAGAGCAGAATCAAATCTGTGCACTTACCTCACGCTGCTGGAAGGTTGTACACCGCTCAGCACAATCAGGTATCTATTTTTTTTCTATGTAATAATTATTAAAGTCTCTAATTGCAAAGGAGTAAGTTGCCATCGTACCCTTTATACATGACAGTTTTTAGGTCATATATTTTTTTAATTGATGATAATGGAATGGTGCACCGTATACGCTAACGGTTTACGCTGGCAGGGCACCAGTGGAGATTAATAAGAGGAACATGAGGTGCGATCAGTTATCCCATCGTGGCAAATTCACCAGGAATTTGTCATGATGGTTGCCAGGACTACGTGGAGGGTGACCTGAAATATACCGTACATTGATAGCAGTGGAGGAATTTGTTCCCATTATTAACAAACCCCATCTCCCCCTATACGTGTCATTCAAACTGAAATACAGCTTACAAAGCTATTATACTTGGCGTTTGAAAAAAGCGAGACAAATTCTTTCTATAAAGTCCATTGAGGTAAGAATGTTGATGTTGATACTATCTGACAAACTGTATTTTTTATACTACGATGGTGGCAAACAAGCATACGGCCCATCTGATGGTAAATGGTTACCGTAGCCTATATACGGCGACACCAGGGATGTCACGTGTGCATTGCCTGCCCTTAAGGAACCTTAATACGAGTATACTCTTCTAGAAAAACCCCATGGTGTAGTCTCGTGAGAAAACTTTGGCTGGTAGATTACATTACATAAAACTTCTACCATATATGAGTCTTTGTTAAAATTACTATTGATATTAATTTCAGGTAGACTTCAGTGCCGACGATAATGGGCTTTGGGCCATCTATTCAATTGAGGGTTCTAACAACACCGCAGTTGCTAAGGTATTATGAACTTTATGTCTAATACCATTCTTTCTTTCCGTTGCTTCTTAATTTCATTCAGTCTTTGTTAATGTTAACGGCCTTAGTGGTTTAGCGGTTTAGTTCACCGCTTTACTTCCGACGGTCACGGGTTCGATTCCTTGCAAACATTACAATATTCATGAATATCTGTTTTTGTATTTCTATGTGTATTGTGTAAATTTCTCCTAATAATTATAAGCAGATAAACCAACATGTTCAATTTGTATTTTGCTTTCAGCTTAGTTTTGACCCCAGCAGGGATGGATTAAATATTGATCACATTTGGAATATATCACTTAATCACAGACAGGTAATTAATAATAAATATTAATTATAATTTATTGTTTTTAAAATTAAAAAACGAGAGAACTAGAGTCTCCAATTTGCTACTAGAAAATATGTTTGTCCGTACAATGATAAGGTGTCTGACTTTGAAATATTTTATTGATTTACAGATTGGAGAAATGTTTATAGTCTGTGGGGTGCTGTATGCTCTCGACTCAGCTACGGAGCGAGAGAGTAAAGTCACCGTGGCCATAGATCTGTACCTCAAAAAACCAGTTGAAGTCTCATTACAGTTCACCAACCCGTTCAGAAAGACAACGCAGCTGGGGTACGACCATATGCATAAAGTAAGTTAAAGAAAAAAATATATTTGATTTTATTGAAAAATATATATATATATATAGAGACGAATAGTCGCTGTCGCTGTCTGTGCGTCCCAATGTATGCTTAAAACTTTAAAACTATGCAACGGATTTTGAAGCGTTATAGTTTAATAGATAGAGTGTTCAAGATGAAGGTTTATATATATATATATATATAATACATGTACACCCGGGCGAAGCCGGGGCGAGTAGCTAGTATATAATATATTTAATTTACGAAAAAAATACATAGATATTTTTACCAATTTGTATCAGTTTTCTAGTATCCATAACACGAGCATTAGCGGACTTAACTTGGGTCTAGATGGCACTGTGTGAATTGTCCTGATATTATATAACTATGGTAGCACTCAAACATACGGGCCATCGGCTTACAGGTGTCTAAGGTGAACGCCAGGAATAACACGTGAGCGTTGTCGACCCTTAAAAAACCACAATATATAAAGTAACCTCATACTGTAATGTCTAGAGAAAACCTCGGCAGGTAATTCATTCCACAATCTAAGTGTACGCGGCAGGAAGCTCCTCTGAAACCGCACTGTCTGAGACACTTAGGTTCCAGCTTGTGGGAATGAATTCCCTGTAGCAAAGCGATGGTAAATAATGGTATATCCATAGTATTATTATAGTAAAAATAGCAAATTAATAAATCTGATGGTGTCTTTTTTCTCTTTTCATTTCTAGTGTTATTTTATATTTTTCTTTTTATATTCCAGGAGTTGTACTCTTGGGACAGAGGCAATCAGCTCACGTATCCAGTCCGATATAACGAACTACCTGGGCCTTAGTGTATTACATAATTTAATATTTAAACTATTACCATAAGATGTAAATAAATGTTTATATTTAAACATATGTTTCATTAAATTACATTTAATATGCAACAATAATAATGTAGGAGTGAAAAAAAAGTAGGAGCGAAGTAGAAGAAGAATTTTATTGTATTTTTTGCTTGATAATGGAATCTAATTTCAAAATAAAATTTCGTGTTCTCGCATGCGCTAGCGATTTATGCTGGCGAGGCACCAGTGGAGGATAATAAGATGAATACGAGGTCAGTTCAGTTAGCACATCGTGACAAATTCACTAGGAATTTCTCGCGATGGTTTCCAGGAGGAACCGCGTGGAGGTTGACCTAACATGGTACATTGCTAATAATAGGGATTACTAGTTCCTATTACTAACAATTCCCTTCCTCCCAGCCCATCGTGGTAGATTCACCATGAAATTATCACGATGGTTTCCAGGGGGAACCACGTGGAGATCAATCTGACATGGTACATTGCTAGTAATGAGGTTAATAGTCTACATTACTAAAAGTCCCCTTCCTCCATTAAATGAAACACATTTCAAATGAAGAATGCCATCTGGACACCCTTGCCTTTATTTACAAGTAAAAACTACCAATGCCCATTTGGTGATATAAAAATTTGCACCTCTACCACTTACAAGTGGTACTATTTAGTATTGTAGCGCCACAAAGCATGATATCAACATTGGAGTTTGCAACTGGACAATTACAACTGTTGCCAACAGATGGCGCTGTTTCGAAAAATTTATTAATATAAATGTATGTTACGTTTATATTAATGAATTTTTAACAAAAATAATAAAAGAAGCAGTAAATTATTACCTACAATTTCTATAAGAGAATATCATTAGCTTAATAAATATATATTTTCATGCTAGGCTCCATAATTATAGCTCCATATTCTCTTTACATTTTTAGTATAGGGGCAAACGCATGCCTGATGGTACGTTGTTTGGATTATTAACAGTTATATGGTAAAAAAACCATTGCACTACCCGCCAGAAAATAAAATACTATATTGATGATCTGTATGAACAGCGGTACTCCACCGTGGACTTTTGAAAAAACTTTTTGCAACTCACGACCTCGAGGATTAGGTGAATCCAGAATGTCGTTGTGAGTTGCAAAAAGCAAATCCAGCAAGAGTATTACCGAATCTTTTATGCTAACTTCCTTGAGTGTTATTGATGAACAAAAGTAATAATAGTTTTAAATATAGCACAGATAAATATTCCGTGATTAAGAGGGTCAGGCATCGCTGTTATTGTACAATAGCTTCGATTATTCAGAATCCTTTAATGTGATTATTTTTCAACAAAGGTCATAAATTCGAATCTGTCCAAAAACCTCAACCTAAACCTTGACATACAACGATTTTTAAATTCTACATGAATTTTGATTGACTCTCCGGTGATAGAAACGCCTGTAACAAACTAAATAAATAAGCGTTAAGCTGACCTCTACCGCACAGATAACCTACCTACCATGATTTTGAAGCGTTCCAAAAGTGGTTTACTATACTCAACGATTGCATTCACCGCGAAATCGACAGTCGACAATGCCTCTGTCCACCCAATATGGGGTTATAATCGTGTGGGTACAAATACTACTTTTTATTAATCCTGCTCTCTCTACATTTATTTAATTCGAGTATTTTCTGGAACTAAATTTTAAACATAAGTTGCTACGAAATTATTTTCTGTATCAATATTTTAAACTTAACATGTTACGGATTTTTTTGTATTCTGACACAAGGTATGGTCTTAATTATGTGTATTTATAATAATAAAAGTATTTTACGTCTTGGCAGCATCACAAATAAGATAATATTATATATAAATTGTGAAAGAAATATTGTAAATAGGTATTTATTTAGGTACTAAGACAGTTCATTGATATCTTACAGTACCTACCAAATTATAGTATGACTGACATATAGCCCGATAGCCAAAATCGTGCTGTAAGGGAAGGAAGGAACGATGGTCATCTGCTGGTCGTTATTGGCTGCTGGGTACGGGCTTCAAACAAGAGCTCATTAAGTGCTGTAAGGACGTATTAAAGTGGAGGCCACAGGGTCGCAAAAAGATCTGAAGGGAGGCCACATATGAGGTCGAAAAATGACATAATTATTATGGCAGAGCGCAACTGGATGTTATTTGTCCAAAATAGGATTAAAATTGAGAGTATGTAGATGATGAGGAAGAGAATGAAGGTGGCCGACACCAAAAATTTGGGCTAATAACGTTTAATAAGAAGAAGTGTGAAGCGTGAGCGCTAACAGATGATTTTGTAGATAAATTTACATGAAACCTAATATTTATGCACTTCATAAATGCATTTTTATTAGTTAACAATATTTGTTGTATTAAAAAAATATGTTACGAAATTCTATCATGATCATAATATGATAATATTATAGTATTATACTTTATTTATTTATTCTTTTGTACACAAAACTGATAGCATTCTCTACCAATCCTACAATATACTTACAGGAGACGGGAATTAATATAATTTGACAATCAAAGAGATCCTATATACATATTAGCTTATAGATATTGCGTGCGATATCGAACAGACAACTACAGTCAAACCGTACCGTGTAGGCGTAACTATATTCCTTAAATGTTTAATATCCAAATATCATAATAATAAATATACTTTTAGTGCAAATTGTATAGCAACATAAAAACTCGACCCCACCGCCACTTAAGATGGCCTGTTAAACCAAAGGGGGAACAGACGAATAAAGTTTTATTATTATAGGTATTGGCTGGATTGCGACCTGGTGCCTTTGCCTGACGTTTGCTTAAAAAAATAAATACTTTTATAACATATCATAACACCAAAGGCGAGGCAGAATGGCTTGTGGTCGTAGCCTGCCCAAAAAAATAAATATATGTACTTTGAAATCATTTAGTTACTAGCTATTTTGACTTTGTATGCGTGGATTTTTACTTTGTTTTTGATTAAAATAATCAGAATTTTTTTAAATAAAATTTGTCTAATTTACTCTTTATAATATTAGCTACATGTTAGTCAAGTCCCGTCAATATCGGTCCATCCGTTTCAAAGATTACCAAGAAACAAACACACAGACAGATATTTTATATTTTTTATATACTTTCATACGAATATGGTGAAAAGCTGTTAATTTGATATAACGGACAGTTACTTAAATTCTATTTATTTCTATAGATTTTGTCAGATAGCTAAAAACTTTAAGAGTTTTATTTTATTTTTCGAAATTTTGTTGAACTACCTACGTAGATGAAAAAACTGCTGACACTATCTACATTGATATCGCTGTTACTCCAGTCAGCTCGTGACCACGGATAGTGCAACCTAGTCGAGACGTCGAGAGAGATATATACCTTTATTTGCCATAAAATTATTCGTGTTAAGACAAATAATAAAAATGATTTAATGGCATGGAAAACCGTGTGATGATACTAGTTAGGTGGCAATAGGTAATCGTTGACTGCAGTTGTGACGTATCCGTCAGGGATTGGCATTCAGGCGCTCCTTAAGTCCTTAAATGGGTTTGTTTGGAGTGGGTGCAAGTGCAGATCACTTGCACCCTATTGTCCAGTGAAGCTGTAAAGGCTAGCAGCGGCCAACAGCATTAGAGTAGTCCGAAAAAAAGTTGTGATGATTATTACCAGAACGGCGAAAAACTGCCGGCATATTGGCAAGTGTCCGCCATTCCCGCCCCTTCTGACACCCTACACGCACTACACGTTTAGCACCACGATACTACTTTAACCGACCTCAAAAAGTGGAGGTAATACATATATGCGTATTTTTCCAATCTTACTATTATAATACTATACTATAAAATTGTGTGGAGGGATGGACGGATGTTTGTTACGCATGAAAGAGTAACAAACATCCAAAAACTACTAAATTAATTTGGATGTAACTTTACAATAATACTAGCTGTGCCCGAGACTTCGTCCGCCTGGAATACAATAAAATTTTTAATTTATTTATTTATTGTGTTTTAAAGATAATTTGTTGAATGTATAATAATCATATTTATTTATATTTTGAAATACACCGAACGCTTTAATATTCACTTGTAAACATGCTTACGTCACTAATAACAAAATATTTTTTTGTAAGAATCTGTGTAACCAATTTTATTTACACCATATATTTCCAAGCAATTGATTAAATAAATTCATTACGTAGGTTTTGTCCACATGTACAAGCAGTCAGACTTAAAACATTCAAAATAAATTAATTTCCATTTAAAACTATGCAAGGTTATCTTATTTAGAACCATTTCAAGTTATTACAAAGATTCAATTCTCTAACGTCATTGCCAACTCTAAAACCGTACAACTAATTGCTCTGTGCCCATATTGTACAGCATAAAAATAAAACAATAACCGCCCGCCAACTTTTATAAGGAAACGTTAACAGCGCCCGCGAATCGATACCGTTCCGAATTTAAACTGTGTCCCGCCATTTCTGCCGGATCTAATGAACTATTAAACTGCAATTTGGATGCGCGGCCGTGGGTAGATGGCGCTGTGCGCACGTATTGATCGGGCGGGGGGGCCAAATTCTCAACATCAGTTCTGCCAAGTCACGAAATGTATTGCTGGCCATTGTGGCGAAAAATGGGGGGGCAGAGATGGGATACTCGGAGAGTATGGACTTAGATACATGTGCGTGCGTGTTAGACATGCGCTTTTGATCGGTTGCTATTCTTAGTCGGGTTTGGAAAGACGTTTATGTTTTTACATTAAAATAATTATAAAAACTTTCTTATAGAACACTAAATAATAATATATGAAATAATTTTTATTTGTGTGTTTCTATACAATATCTTCCTAAAAAGAACAATTTTATTAAATAAAAGTTTATAACTGAACGTTTAGTTCGGTAATTTCAGTAATCTAAAAAACCTATTAATTTATTCATTCAGTTAGGTATAATTGTACCATTATCAGTATTTATTTATTATTC